AAAGGGAGGAACCTGCACCAATTTGTCTTTTCTAATCACAGATGCTTTACCCACCTTCCTAATTACTCGTTCATTAGGAAGTATCTTATTGTTCCTTTTTATTTCCCTGGGAGGTAAAAATAATCAACTTTTGTTTGTTCCTGTAAATATATATATTTTTGTGCTTGAGGAGATAATTATTTCTATTGTTGCATGAAGATGGTGGCCAATACAGCAGGAATAATTAGAGCAGATGGTTGAAAATTCTTCTCTCATAAAAGCTACCCAAGATAATAAAACACCTCCCTTCCTCCTTTGCCTCTTTCAAATATATATTTATCATTGCTTTGGGTGGAAGGGAGTTGGTGGAGGGGTGTAAATCTTCTCCTGACGTATTAAAGTGAGGAGCTGTCATGAGTTCACCACCCGGAAAGCGAGCTCTGCTTATCCATCACTGAAATTAAAGTGTTCTTGAATGTGGCATGGAATCCTGCATCTATGGCATGGGAAGCCACACAGAATCCTGCATCTACAGCGTGGGAAGCCACACACCTTGCTCCATCACCTGAGCTGTTAACCTTGTCCCTCAGTGGTGATGGTGAACAGCAATTTGTGCTCTATGATTAAATAGCAATCTGTGAGCACCAGGGCATAGGTTACCTCCAGCTGGAGACCTTAGGAGAGATGGGGAGAGTCCCCTAGGCAGGGAAGCAGTGTGGTGAGATGGCTATTGCAGAATGAGAGCTGTGTTGGTGCTTTGCATCTTGGTAGACACATCATCACAAAGTATGTGAGATCATACGAGCTATATTGTGTTTCAAGAAGAGTTTCTCAGGCCCTTAAAAGACAAAGATTACTTTTAATTTCAAGAGGGTGACAAAAAGAATGTCACCAGGTAGAGATGTTATGCTAAATGACTCTTAGTTATGAAACTTTGTCCAGAAATTGAGTATCTACTCATAGAAGATTTATATTACCATCCCCTTTTGGCTTGTTTGCCAGCCTGTATTGGCATGCAAGTGTATTATTATTTATTCAGTCTTTGCAGTTGCTGCTGCTGTATCTGGGCCCTGATCATCTCAGACAAAAGCCATTTCCCTAAAGGTGACACAGAGGGAACAGAGGCAGCAGCTAAAAACATAAATTGGAAAGAAATCTGCACGGAAATTGAAAAAGAGGGTGTAGACAGGAGGTAGGGGATAATCTGCTGTGTGTTAAGGGCCTTTTATTGTATGCCATTAAAATACCATTTTATACGTTTTATCCATGGCTTTGGAGCCCAGGTGGGGAGGTGTGTATATACATATATATATATATATATATGTGTATGTGTATATATATATATATATATAGATGTCTTTGGAAAAGCACCAGATGCATATATTGCTTCTATCTAAGCTACAAGTTGTAATGAATCTTTCAATGAATCTTACAGTAACTCTTCATCTTTGAGGTTTCACTCCCCGTGTCAAACCTAATTGAAGATTGCCAGGTTCAGAACACTGGCAGAGATGTGGGTGGGTGTGAAATACTAGGGTCTTATAAGCCCCATTTCCTCCAAATCATCTTCCTAGCCATCTAGCAGGGTGGTTGCCCTCATGCTTAACTTGAATGTGACAATGGTTCTCAGCTGCTTTTTCCAGTATCTCCTATACTTGAATATCTTCAGTAGAAATTTTAGCTCCTGACCCTCAGCATACAATTCCATCTCTTCCAGTTTTTCTGCAGTTGACAGAGGGCCACGGAGACCTGCTTGTTTTCACATTAGGATTTGCCTCGACCACTACTGTAGGTAGTGCATATTTTGTATTGCATTTTGAATTTTGCACTATGTGTGCAAAAGTGGGGCCAGAGATGCCTTTGAGTGTATATTTGTCAGCATTCCCATCTCCATCCTCATGGTTCATCCGACAAGCATGCACGAGAAGGGCGCTCAGCTGTGACCCTGCTGCTCGCAGCTGTTGCTGCTCCTCAGTGTTGCTAAGAAGTGTTTAAATAACATCAAATGCAAAGGCACATGCTGGGTGTGCCAAGCAGGAGGAAAAGAAAAAAACAAAAGAAAATTTGCTTCTGTAATAATCCTGTCCATTCCCTAGGAGGGGAATGTTCTTGTTCCAGTGGGCTGTGGGCAGAAGGAAGGGGTCTAGAATCTCTGCATGATGGAGACATTTGCAGCTCTTTGAGGGAGAAGGTTGCTATTTTTTTTGGAGGGATCCCAAGTGAGTCAGTCTGTCCCAGGAGTCATGAGAGTGTCCTCAGGAAGTCCCCATGCCACCCTTAGGATGCAGGTACTGCTGGAGTCTGGGAGGATCAAGCCATGTGGATGAAATCAAACCTGTCCCATTTTGGCTGCACAGCAGCTAGAGTTGCTGGGACAGGACAACTGAGGAGCTTCCACAATATCAAATGGCAGGAGACTAGCAGGGCCAGAAGGGAGCTGGGTTTTCTAAAGTTATGAGTAAAAATAAATTTTTATATTCTATAGAGAGAACCCTAACAAATAGCTAGGGTATTTTCTAGTTAGAGCAGGTAATTGTCTTAATATAATTCAAATTCAGAAGAGGATTTTATTTTTCTTCATTTTCTAAGACTTAATTTTGTAAGATTTCTACCTGACTTTCCCTTCCCTTTCCCTTCCCTTTCCCTTCCCTTTCCCTTCCCTTTCCCTTCCCTTTCCCTTCCCTTTCCCTTCCCTTCCCTTCCCTTCCCTTCCCTTCCCTTCCCTTCCCTTCCCTTCCCTTCCCTTCCCTTCCCTTCCCTTCCC